CACAATTACACTAATGGTGGTATTTATATATTGGTCAGTCTTATGAAACATACAACATAGTACATCTATGTATCGATTCAAGTTAGCACACGTTGAATGATACTATTTTACACACATCATATTAACTGTTGTTTATTACTGTATTTGATTTTCAAATAAAATTATGAAAAGTCACATTGTCTTCAGGGATCAAACTTTTACTCAAAAAAGTGTTGTTACAGAAATCAACATACTTACAGACTTCTGAGTCGAGATCTCCACACTAGTTCACATTTCGAAGTTCAGACAATTCACAATAATAAAACAATTACGATTCCAACCCAGTCAGTCTGAATACTTGATAAAAAGTGATTTTTATAAGATTAATTTAGCAATAAATGTCAATGACTATAGATTAATTCATTTTTAACTCTGTCAACGTAACTTGAGTGTTGATGATGTTTTCGAGTTTAATAATCAAAACTGTACTCACTTGATTCATTTCACTTAGAAAATACAATGAACAAACTTCCAGGTCTTCCTGTAAGCGCCATAGATTTTTATTCCGGAATCCAACTATTCGTGTGTACAACTTCACTCATATTACTTACTTACTTACTTACGCCTGTTACTCCCAATGGAGCATAGGCCGCTGACCAGCATTCTCCAACCCACTCTATCCTGGGCCTTCTTTTCTAGTTCCATCCAATTCTTGTTCATTTTTCTCATGTCTATCTCCATTTCTCGGCGTAATGTGTTCTTTGGTCTTCCTCTTTTCCTTTCGCCTTGAGGATTCCATGTGAGGGCTTGTCTTGTGACGCAGTTGAGTGCTTTCCTCAATGTGTGTCCTATCCACTTCCAGCGCTTCTTCCTGATTTCTTCCTCCGCTGGGATCTGGTTTGTTCTCTCCCACAGTACGTTGTTGCTAATAGTGTCCGGCCAATTGATCTGAAGTATTTTGCGTAGACAATTGTTAATAAACACCTGTATTTTCTGGATGATGGCTTTCGTAGTTCTCCAGGTTTCTGCCCCATACAGTAGAACTGTCTTGACATTTGTATTGGAAATCCTGACCTTGGTGTTGGTTGACAGTTGCTTTGAGTTCCAAATGTTCTTCAGTCGTAAATATGCTGCTCTTGCTTTGCCGATCCGCGCCTTCACATCTGCATCAGATCCACCCTGTTCATCAATGATGCTGCCCAAATACGTAAAGATTTTTACATCTTCCAAATCTTCTCCGTCAATTGTGATTGGATTGGTGCATTCTGTGTTGTATCGGAGAATCCTGCTTTTCCCTTTGTGTATATTGAGACCTATTGCTGCTGAGGCTGCTGCCACACTGTTCGTCTTCTCCTGCATCTGTTGCGTTTGGGATAGAAGAGCCAGATCGTCTGCGAAGTCTAGATAATCCAACTGCATCTTAGATGTCCATTGTATCCCGCACTTCCCTTCTGACGTTGACGTCTTCATGATCCAGTCGATCACCAGGAGAAAGAGAAAGGGTGAGAGTAAGCAACCTTGCCTAACACCGGTCTTCACTTTGAACGACTTTGTCAACTGTCCTCCATGCACGATTTTGCAGTGTAATCCATCATATGAACTCTGTATGATATTGACTATCTTCTGAGGCACGCCGTAGTGTCGAAGAAGTTTCCATAGTGTTGTTCTGTCCACGCTATCAAATGCCTTTTCGTAGTCAATAAAGTTGATGTAGAGTGATGAATTCCATTCAATTGATTGTTCCACAATGATTCGTAGAGTTGCGATTTGGTCTGTACACGATCTATCCTTACGGAATCCTGCCTGTTGGTCACGAAGTTGGGCGTCTACGCAGTCCTTCATCCTGTTTAACAATACCCTGTCGAAGACTTTTCCCGGTATTGAGAGAAGAGTGATGCCCCTGTAGTTATCACACTTGCTGAGATCGCCTTTCTTCGGTATTTTGATCAGAAGTCCTTCTTTCCAGTGTGTTGGTACTTGTTCCTCATCCCAAATCTTATTGAAGAGAATATGGAGTATCCTTACAGTTGCCGCTGCGTCTGCTTTTAGTGCCTCTGCTGGGATATTTTCCGGTCCTGCTGCTTTGCCCCTCTTGATTTGTCTGATGGCCATGCTGATTTCTTCAATTGTTGGTGGGCCAACATTGATTGGGAGGTCCGTGGGTGCTGCTTCGATGTTGGGTGGGTTCAGTGGAGCTGGTCGATTCAAGAGTTCTTTGAAGTGTTCTACCCACTTGTTTTGTTGCTCTTCAATGTTGGTGATTACCTTGCCTTCTTTGCTTTTCATTGGTCGTTCTGTTTTGCGGCGATTTCCAGAGAGTTTCTTTGTCGTGTCATACATTTGTCTCATGTTTCCTTCTCTTGCAGCCTTTTCCGCCGCCGTTGCTAAATCTTCCACATATTTACGTTTGTCGGTTCTGATGTTCCTCTTCACTTGTTTGTTAACTTCTGTGTATTCACCTTGTGCCTTGGCTTTTTCTGCTCTTGTTCGACTGGTATTGATTGCTGCCTTCTTGTTCCTTCTTTCTTGAATCTTATCCAGTGTATCAACAGTGATCCGTTTCTTGTGATGGTGCTTCTTGTGACCCAGGACCTCATGACATGTTGAAGTGATTGCTTCTTTGATCCCCTTCCAGTTGCTCTCCACAGTAGTCCCTTCTCCATTGAGTAGATCATGAAAGGCCTGGAACTTGTTGCTGAGGACTATCTTGAATTTGTTGAGTTTGTTAGTATCCTGAAGAAAGCCCGTATTGAACTTTTGTGATATTGTCCGCCTCGTTGTCCAGTGTTTCTTGAGTTTCAATTTCATCTTGGCGACCAGCAAGTGATGATCTGATGCTATATCACCTCCTCTCTTGGTTCTCACGTCCTCTATAATCCTCCTGAACGTTTTGTTGATGCAAATATTGTCGATTTGGTTTTGTGTAGAGTGATCCGGTGAAGTTCATGTGGTTTTGTGTATGCGTTTATGTGGGAATATGGTGCCGCCTATGACCAGCTTATTGAAGGCACATAGATTTGAAAATCTCTCACCATTTTCGTTTCTTTCTCCCAGTCCGTGTCGTCCCATGATGTCTTCATATCCAGTGTTGTCCGTTCCAACCTTGGCGTTGAAATCTCCCATCAGAATGGTCAGGTCCTTTGTTGGGCACTTCTCGACGATTGACTGCAGCCTATTGTAGAATTGATCTTTAGCGTCTTCATTGTAGTCGTTGGTAGGCGCATAGCATTGGATGGTGTTCATTGAAATGCCCTCTTTCTTTGTTTTGAACGAGGCTTTGATGATCCTTGGTCCATGAGATTCCCATCCTATAAGTGCATTTTGCTCTTGTTTGGACAGCATCAATGCAACTCCTTGTGTATGTGGAGCATTTTCTTCTCCATGGCCGGAGTATAACAGGAGCTCTCCTGTAGTTAGTCGTTGTTGTTCAACTTGTGTCCAATGTGTTTCACTGATCCCAAGTACCTCTAGGTTGTATCTTCTCATTTCTGCAGCAATTTGGAAGGCTCTCCCGGTGTCCCACATTGTACGAACATTCCATGTACGTAAATAAATGGTCGCTCTGGTTGTCAGAAGGGGCATCGGCCTCGTAACTTCCGAAGGAATTCGGCTTTCATCATGAGGCGTCATAATTCTTCTAAATGAAGACCTTCTGACTCCCAGGGCAGAGTTTAAAAGGTTTGAATAATTTTTTCTGGTTAGCGTTTTTTTAGCGAGTTAGTTTTCTACGGGATGGGGACGCTAACCCCATGCCCAACCCTCCTCCTTTATCCGGGCTTGGGACCGGCAGTATCCCCCGGAGGGACTCCAGGCGGAGTTACTTCACTCATATCCTTATATCTAATTTGTAATGAACACTGTATTTGTCTAACGATCCGAGTTGATATATTTGAATTGTATCAATGAATAATTTTTTTCTTCATTACTTTAAGTTAATTAATTTCTTTATGTTCTACTGTAGTATGGCAACTCGAACTGATGTACATACGTACGAAGTTCTACGTTGTTACTGACTGAATGACTGTAGAACTCAATAATTTACTTTCACGATTCGTTCATGACTCAATATGATTAATACACAACTTATCACCAATTTTGTTAAAGATTAGTCAAAATATATTGTTATATATTTCATTATCAGACTATCTGGTTATAATCACACAATCATATTTGAAAGTTTAATTTACTATTCCAAGTATAATGACTTGTACATTTTCTAAAATCTGTTAGAATAGGTTGGAGTTATCTAGAACTGTGTTCTACAGATACATTCAATGTGGTAGTATAGCCAAATCTACTGGATGGAAATTTCACATACTAAAAATTACGGCTTAAGATGATATCTTTAATGATAATAACTCTGTTATTCTAAGCACTCAACTGAAAAAAATGATCAGAAGTATTGAGTAAAACACATTTGATGAATATGAAGATCACTTGAGAAAATTGTAGTATATTCACAGTTTCAAGTCATGAGCTGTTGAGGAGTCCCTTACCAGGACAAAACAATCATCTAATGCCTCCAAGTTTCTACTGGTGGTTTAGCTAAAGCCAGTTCAGGATTTAACACTAAGAATATAAGAATGTTGCAAATAGCTTTAGGAAATATATAATTATGATTTATTTAGAATACATTTGTAATCAGAATCAATCCTAAATAATGTTTAATTTGTCTTAACTTTATTATGATTTCGTCCATCCAAATTAAAACATATGTTTTTGGTGTTTGTTTTCATTATTAGTGGAAAGCGGTACACAAATTAATTACCTGAATTATTTGTTGTGTGCTTCATATCATTAATCAAGTAAATATATGGATACTCCGGTTTGAAATACACCATTTAGTGTAAGGTCTGTAACCGGACGGTTATCGAACACACTCGCATGCATATGTGGAACCTGTTTAATATCAAACTATTTCGAATAGTTCATTTTTGTTATATTCGTTTATCCATTCAGTGTCTTTTTTGAATTTACCTGTTAATGTATCTCACAAATTCTACATTTTATTCATATTTCAGGCTTCATTCTCTTCATCTGATGATTCAGATATTATGGAAAACAATAATATAACTTCAGTTGATGAAGATGATGATCTACCTTTGTCTACATTCCTTCCCTTGAAATCAGATACTTTGACCAATAATACAACTATTATTACCAATCATCATTATCATAATAATAATAATAATACTAACAATAGTATTCATGATGAAAAAAATTTCATACCATTTTGTCCATGTACAAAACCTGCAGTTCTAGATGATCCACGTTTAGATGGATTATTTTGTTCACCTGAATGTCTTATACGTGCATGTCATGAAGCATTTGATGTATGGTTAAGAAATCATCATTGTATTAAAAATAATTCTATAATTTAAGTAATAGAAATGAATGCAGATGATAGTTATGCTTTCATAGTATTTGTTATAAATCTCATTTAAATGTGTACATATTTATAAATATTGTTTGGAATTGCTTTTGCTAATCAATGTTGAATCAAATCATTTATATATACATATATATGAGATGTTTGTATGATTGAAATGTGTACAGATCATTATGTAGAAAGAACCATATTCTAATGTTGTTCTCTTTTTTATTATTATTATTATTATTAATTAACAGCATTTATGTGAATTGTGAATAGGAAATCGATTTTGTGCACAAGAAATAGTAGGGAAAAGAAGCAAATCTATGTATGTAATTAAACAATATAATATCCGAGTAAAATATCCAGTGTGTGCTTTTTTTTAAGAAAAAAGATATCAGTAATTCATTTATTTAATCTGCTTAGTTTAAAGAATAAATGATGAAGTCAATTGAAGTACCGAATTGCGTAATTAGTGTATGAAAATATACTTGTCATTGTACTGATTATAAGTTCTTGTAATTGGCTTAACAAGGATAATTACCCTTCTTTTTTGTAAGATGTCCCAGTTTATTGATAAAATGACTAGGATGGATGATATGATTAGGTTGTTAATGTTTAATCATTGGATCAGTTCTTAAACTTCATTTGAATTAGTCATAAAAGACAGAACTATCAACTGTCATTCAGTGTGATGTGGTTGTTGGCTTATCTCGTTGGTATTTCTTTACTAGATTTTAATCATTCAACAATGAGATAATTTAAAAACCATTACAAATGGGAATAAAATACATAACTGTTATAGATATGAGTAGTTGGTTATATGAACTCAGTTGAAAACGCGATGAGTGTTTGAAGTAAATGGTCCTGAATTTGTACACACTTCAGTGAACATCAACTCTAAGACTCAGGTATATTCAGATGACACGTTCAAAATACGACGAAACATTTAGTTCGTTACATTCCATTTATCTTATAGAATATCTATTATTATTTGTTTATTACTACAAATTATTAAACCTAAAAATGTATAACTGAATTCATTTTACAATTGATAAACATTGTCAAAAGTATAAGTACAGTATACCATACAACTGATGATTACTTCATTTTAATAAAACAAGTACAAATTCCTAAAACCGCAATTTTTCTAATGTTTATTGACTTTTTGTTAATATGACACAACATCCCCTCAAATGCCCTGATACGGCCGAAAGTGGGGAGAGTCAGCTCTCCCTCTCGAAATGCTCTCACATGACCACGCGTATATAGCCTCTGCCAGGGAAGTCCTACTCACTGCCTTCTCGTGGCGAGGGTGTTGTTTACAAAAATGAGAGGACGAAAAGCGAATATCCGGCGCTTTAACCGGGTTCCAAAACAATGGTGCACATGGGCTCCAATATCCTGCGGGAACAAATGGCGTATGAACCAATTGTCGGTCATCGGCTACCACGATGCTCCACTGCCTTGTGTGTTAGGTCTTTAGGTCAAAGGCTCGGGGTGTGGCCCCCTAAGAAAACCACCTGCTTCGGTTTGGGCACCCGGGCAGCATTTCAGCCCGCACACAAAAACATGATAAACTATCTACTTATGAAAAATAGTCCTCTCGCTCCAAATAACAATCAGGTGACTCGCATTATTATTATTATTATTTATTACGTCATTATTCACCCTCTCTTATTCCCACTCTGTTTATACTTATTTTTCCGACTTATACAGCAGCTCGTCTATGGTGGAAATTCGACTCTATCTAAACGTTCTCGAGTCACCGTCCGGTTGAAAATTGTATGTTAATACGAGGACTGAAGCAGTTTCCCTGAAACCACGTGCACCATTCAAACTGGATGCCTTCAACGTTCGCACACTTATGATGGTCGGACAACAGATAGGGCTGTCAATGTCTTTAGAAAGTCTTAATATCGATGTCTTCTATCTATCCGAGACCCTTATTCAAGACTCTGGTGAAGTACTACAAATTCGCTCTTCATCTGTCGCTTCGAAAAGCTTGTTTTGCGTGCGCTTATCCGGGGACCCTGTGGCATCTTCGTCTGGTCTAGCTGGCATTGGTGTCGCACTAAGCTATAGAGCTGAGGCAGCACTAATCGATTGGATCCCCATTAACCGTCAGTTATGTGCTGTTAGATTAGAAAGTTCCATCAAAGTGAGAAGAAATCGGCGTGAGAAACGATGTCATTTCGTCATCTCCGCCTATGCCTCGACAGATTGCAGCCCGGATGCAATCAAGGATGAGTTTTACCACCAGTTATCTGTTCTTCTCCAGAAAGTGCGTTCGACAGATATTGTAGTACTAGCCGGAGACTTGAATGCTCAGGTCGGGCGTCTAGGCACAGAAGAGAGTCGTCTAGGTGGCCGATGGGGACTTGTTGGTCGCAGGACAGATAACGGAGACCGTCTACTACAACTATGCACAGACCACAACCTGTTTCTGGCTAGCACTAACTTTCAGCACAGTCATTGCCGATGTGCCACCTAACGTCCTCCCTCTGGATCTCAAGCCTGGACTCTGATCACATCACGATCAGCTACCGCTGTCGTGGTTGTGTACAAGACTACCTACCTGGACTCTGACCATGCCTTGGTCTGCGCCAATCTTACCTTACTTTTTAGTGGACAACGAAGTGACCGCCACCAAAGGATTGATGTCAGCAAGTTGGTTGCAACTTCTGTTGCTAGTAAGTATCGAACCGAGATAGTTTTTAGGCTAGCTACCATTCCACCGAAAAGTATAGATGAGCATTGGTTACAACTTCATGACGCCATCAAAATGGCGAGTAAAGTCGCTTGCGACTTCGCGAAATATCCCGCTTATAAGCACTGGGTTTCTTCAGGCTCCTTACAACTCATTGAAGCCCGTCGGTCTACTCCGGGTGACCGTGAGTTTGACCATAAACGAAGGATGTTACGTAAGGAAATTGGGCAAAGCTTGCGCAAGGACCGAGAAGCCTGGTGGTCGATGCGTGCTAATGAGTTGGAAGCAGCTGCATCTGGTAATTACCGGAAGCTCTTCCAACTCATCCAAGCCACTGGCAGCAAGAAGTCTGGTGTGAGCGAAACAATCTGCGAAGGTGACGGACCGCCAATCACTAACACCCATTGACGTCTTGGACGATGGGCAGAATTTTTCGAAGGGCAGTTCAACTAGCCCGTTGCTTCGGCAACATCGGTCGGACTGTCCTGCCCTCCATGGCAGGTGACGACTGATCCACCAAATGAGGCGGGAGTTCTCAAGGAACTCCAACTCTTGAAGCGCTACAAATCATATGGCCCAGATGACTTACCTCCGGCTCTTTTTAAAGATGGTGGTGACTTTCTGGCTAAGGAACTGACGACGCTGTTTACAAAGGTCTGGAAGCTAGAGAGTGTACCAACGTCATGGGATGAGTCGATAGTTGTCCCTACCTTTAAAAAGGGTTCACGTCGTTCCTGTACCAACTATCAGGGGTTAAGTCTACTTGCGATAATACCCAAGCCATGCAATCCGCGCTTAATCAGTTGGCTATCAATGTCCGTAGGAACGGTATGTGCTTTGCACCTTCGAAGTGCAAAGTACTTCTACAAGACTGGCAGGATTCCAATCCTGTACTCACCCTGGATGGTGAGCAGATAGAAGTAGTCGAGGAGTTCGTGTATCTGGGTAGCTGCATAAGTGCTGGTGAGGGTGTGAGTGATGAGATCAATGCACGTATAGTGAAAGCCAGAGCGGCTTATGCCAATCTGGGCCATCTTTGGCGCCTTCGTGATGATAGTCTGGCTGTAAAAGGTCGGATTTACAACTCGTCGGTGAGAGCAGTTTTGCTATATGCTTGTGAAACCTGGCCTCTCCGAGTTGGGGACGTTAGACAACTCTCTGTGTTCGATTATCGCCGTCTCCGAAGGATTGCTGACATCCAGTGGCAACACCGTGTTAGTAATGCGGAGGTTCGGCATCGTGTGTTCGAGCTCAGAGATGATAATGCAATCGATGTCACCATCTTGAAACACCGACTTCGGTGGCTTGGATATGTTCTACGAATGTCGTCTCAGAGAATTCCACGTCGTGCATTGTTTGCCGACTCTGGGACTGGTTGGAAGAAGCGGAGAGGTGGTCATTGCATGACATGGTGTCGTGGCATGAAAGAAAGCTGAAAATGACTGGCTTCTGTTGGTCCTTCACGACTCCCTGGTTGTGGTCTGAGAGATGGTGCTACACAGTGGCTAGAGACGCTATCAGATATGGCTTAGAATAGAAGCTAGTGGCGATCCTGCTGTAACCTTCTTTTACTTTCTTCATAAAAAGTGGTTGTTTCTTCCTTAACTGAAGGGTTTCTTCTGAGTGTATTTTACTGTTTTTCCATTAGTACCACTATTATTATTACACTACCTTACACCAATCTCCTCCTTATTGTTCAAATAAATAAACAAATTGTTAGTGCGTATTCAAGACATGCAGACTATTCACAGTATATCATACTGATGATAATGATCATTATCTGTTGAGATCTAAACAGATTATTTTAACACAATGCAAGATATCGATAAATACTCGTTTTATGGATGGGCATTCGCAACTTCTCAATTGCTTAGGTATATTCTTCAGGCGAGACTATAATTTATGGACGAACCGATCAGATTTACGATAACATGTTTTAGATTTTGGCGCGAAATTCATTCATCAACTTGGCAAAATAAAGTTTCGGCATAAAAGCTGATGTCAGTTCGTGATAAAAACCGTAAATGTTATTCCTAACCTTAAACGTCAACTGCAAATCACAATTTGAGGTCCTTACACAGGTTTATAACCCTCATTTAGTTCTAGTTATTAGGTGGACACTCTCAAGGTCACTTTAGCATCGCTCAAAGGTTGTCCATAAATTATAGTCTCACCACTCTTCAAAATAAGTTATTCACGTGAAATTATTCCTTGATGTTTTGTAAATCTTCTAAATATTTAGTATTCTGTTACTGAATTTTAGTTATTATTATTTTTTTCTTTCTGAATATGTTTTTATTATGACTGACCTACTGAAACGTCAGTAATTTCCTAGTTAAATAAAGTTCGTTTTTTCGTTCTCTGATTTCATTTAACTAATCAATCTTTAGTGATCTATCTGTGTTGAACTTTACAGAAGAATTTAAATCTTAAATTGATTTTCATACTTAACTTCATTCATGTGCTATAGGATGTCGAATTGATAACTATAACGTAGAGTTTGTTACAAATCAGATCATTCTCTTATTTCGTATACATGTTTCCTTTTTTGTATTTTTTTTCTCACCTATAGAGTATTCAACTAAAAATAGTTTTCGTTTTATTTCTTGACAAAATGAACTATATTATAATTTGTCTTCAAGCTATTTTGCTCGAGATTGTAAAAATTAAGACTAAGTTAACGTCTCAGGTAACAAGATCATGGTAGACGACTACCATTTAACACATGTTTACGACAGTTAAATTCGTATAAATGATTCAATCATGCTAGTATTATAATGAATGGGTCAAACCACAAGAATGTATCCGTATATGTATGTAACAAGAATTGTGCAAATAAAGTCAGACTATGTGAAGTGTGAATAATGACGAAACTACTTACAAACAAACTCAATCTACATTAATTATCATTACAAGTGATGCGGAGTAGTTTACATTCTTTCTACTTGTGCGATGTCAGTCAGAGATAGAAAATTCTACAACTATAATTCAAAAAACGACATGCTATTTTCGAATGATTTTTTTCATTAATAAGTACTCAATTAATAGAAACCTTATTTCTAACTTCATTACAGTTTTGTGTTAGGACTGACTAAAACGCGAGACCATGTTTTAATTTAATGTAATATTTACTCAGTATTTACGTGAAATCAGTTTTTGTATTCCGTTTATTTCAGTTATGTATGATTTTTCTTGGTTATTCATCAAACGATAGTCAAATCTACCTGTTAAATGAGTGCGTTTAGTCAAGGCTCTCGTTATGTTTTTCCGGAGATTAGTGAAATCTACATCTGTCGTACGTTTTCCTAGAATCATGCAAATCTCAGTTTTTAGCTATTTAAAGCATCAATTATCCACAAGTTACGTCTTTCAAATTATTCATTCTCTAAGTTGTAACAAGTATATTAATATTTAGAATAACCTAACCTTAGTAACCTGTGTATTTCTGTAAGGATTTCAATTTAGCTTCAATTACCACAAGCGGGTTGCGTGACAATCTACAAGGTTAAAGAAAGATAACAAGACATAAACAGTTTCTGGGTTGAAGGAACTTGGGATAGTTGTTCACTTGATGAGAACGTAGATACGGGGAGCAACAGAAAACCTGGAGATGACAGCCACAAACATAAGAATTCGATGATGATATCAACAAGGAATGACCGTGTTTGAAAAATCAGATGTATTAAGATCGTGGTAGAATGAAAGGTAGCTCATGATGCTCCTGAACAGAGTCACGCCTAAACTAATCAATTTCTAAGGCCTCTGCAGTGCACAGACTTTTGGTTTGTACTACCTCTGAACCCAGCCAACACATCATCAATCTACACCTAAGAATCACTTTAACTAGAAATAAAATACTGAACAGAAAACTATGTTATTCACTTTACACAAAACCTACTAACAATTTTAATACATAACGTAAGACCATCAACCTACAATCGTACATCAACCGTTGCCTATCTTGATAGGTGATATTTGCTTATGTAAGTGGGATGAAAGATGGCATCAGTCCGTGATGTCATTGGCAGTTGAACTAAGTAATGTTGGTAGGTGTAGACTACTTGATTATGGTTTGAGAAACTAATGGGACCAATGTTTGGAGACTGATTGACAAGGCTCAAAGTCAATTGCAATGAAGCAGAAACAGTCTTCTTTTAGATCTTGAACTGACGAACATACGCGCTAGTATATGCGTTGCTTATGATTAACATTCAACCACAGCTATAAGACAGAGGGATTGCATTCAAAATATTTCTACTACACTATGTAGTCGGCAGATCGAAAAGGACATTGTACAGTTCATAGATTCATGCGATCGAGGTGCACACTTTAGCGATCAAATATTATGAACACAGTGAAAACAACTTAAGTTTACTTGATAAAATTTCCAAGATGATTGATGCAATTCACGTCATTTATATCTCATACTTTCATGTCTTCATCCAATATTTTGCCCCATATCACTATATCAACACAACCGAATTAACCAGTCCCAGAGGACATGTTCTTATTCATGAGCTGGTTGGTATCTTTAATATTAAATAATAAGTGATAATAACAGGGAGCCTAAGTGTCTGATTGTCAGGTTTACCACGATTAAAAAAAGTATATCTAGAAATTTGAGTTTATCATCAACATGTGAAATTCACAAACTGACTATTAAATGGTGACCAATATCATCTTCGAATAGCCTTTAGTGCTGATCAACAGAATTCAATCAAAAAAGTAACCAAGGGATGTAGATATTCTTGTTCCTAAAGGACATCAATCGCGCCCTGAATAGCCTAGTAGCGATAACATCCTCCACCATAAAGATGGGTGATCCGGGTTCGAATTATAGATGTTATGTCTATTTCGTCAGGTTTCCAGGTACACCTTAATGACGAATGTTATCCCTGTAGAATGGAATGTATAAGAATTATAAAGATCGCATTTCGAATATCTTGATATTATTTCGAATAATAGATTAAACCAGGAACACGCTTTGCCGATTGATACATAGCATAATTTACAACCTTGTAGACCAATGAAGAACTGAGAGTTCATTTGGTACTCATGATATACTGAAGTAACTACTTGTTAATTATTTAACAGTCAATTTGTGATTCAACACTGAGTGAACCAACTGATTCAAAGATTTATTAAGGTATTCAAAATAGGAAACACTACTGATCACAGTCGAAACACGTAGTATAAGACAATAAAAACAAGAAAAGATGATCATGTAAAAACTGATTTATTTACAAGTCAAACACTCCTCATCATTACTACTAAGCTTTCTCACACGTTTTAAAGATTTGCGTTTTGGCTGCTCAGTAGAGGAGCTGCAATCAGCTTTAATAACATTATTATTATTATTAACACAAGATAGTATTTGACAATTTTCTTCATTAGGATTAGTTACACTTGATTTAATATCATTATTGTCATTTGAAATTCTCACTGGACCCGGATCTTGTTCAATCGAATTATGCTGGTCTGTTAACGAAAAAAACATACGAAAAAGACCAATTTTAGGTATTAAACAATTTTCAACTCCTAGATTTGTACAAAAAACACAAGAAAGTAACTGGAATTCTTTGATAAACGCGACAAAAACAGCGATAACAGTATACCGAGATAATTGGTAATCATGCCAAATCAAGGCACATAGATGTACATATGTGGATAAATAGTGATGTGAACAGGGAAACAAGAAGCCCTGACAAACTACGAAAGCTATTTTCCGGGACGTTATTTCATTTTATTCAAAGCTTGTAAAACACTGACACTTATTTATGTCCCTATTTTATTCTACAGAACATGTGCTTTCGTCCGATGTGTCATTCATTGCCATACCCCTTTTTGTTCCGAAGCTATTGTAATTTAAACACAATATTTTGCACCTTATTTTCTACTCTAATTCTGTATTGCGATACATGCATCCAAAAGCCTCATTTGATTTGCATCATTTTGTGCTTGCTGCATTTGCAGAATAGTTTTAGGGTTATCATCTAAAGATACAGGCATTTTGTTCTGGATCAATCCTTTGTTATGACAATAATATTAGTAATGATAAGAATAATGATAGTAATGATAATAATAATAATAATAATAATAATAATAATAATAATAATAGCTTTATTCAATACTATATGCTCAGCGCAATTTTATAGTCCGGTTACACAGAGAATGAGGTTACAATACAATATCAAATAAACAGTGAGAAACATTAACTACGTGGTAGCTTTTACACACCAAGGTTCATACCAACAGTCAGTGATTTTATAAATTAATATTGTGTTAGTTTCCCACCAACCAATTTCTAATTCACTCACTGTCTGGCTCCACAGTATACTTTTACTTAAAATACGAACGAATTTCCCGCCTACGCCATAGGATGGGGAATTTCACAAAAGCTGAATGAGGATCCTGGATCTTAGTTGAGATTTCCTCAGACACCAGGTCATCAGGACTGAGGAGATTTACAAGGCAAATAAAGTTGTCAACTGTATTAACTGTCTTACTTCAAATGATCAGATTAAGCGTGATATTTAAACATAACATACCTCGATTTTGGTGCTGTATTGACAGTTCTCTCAAAGTTGCATCATTAAATGGAGGTGAAATACTGTTAAGTGATTGATCTAATTCACTCAATAAGGCAAACAATTCCTTTTCAACTAAAATATGACGAGCTCCTGATGATTTTAACATGACATTCAACGAGAAAATAATGAGTTCTGTTTCCACTATGGAATTTAGATAAACTGTATGATCATCTGTAGATTTCATAGCAGAGATAAGATTTTTTGCTCTATTGGAAAATTCTTTGGCATGTTGTTTGAATAAAACGGAGTGTTCCGCTAATTTCTCCACCATACTAAAAATTTTCTTACGATTTCCCTTTATTTTAGCTAAAAACAGCTTATATTATTCGTTGTAATAGATGAATCACAAACTTACTTTCGGATCAAGTTTTAAACGTTGCTTCATAACCATTATAAGTAGTGGTTTACGTTATAAGCGTTTTTGTCCACAAGAATAAATTGAATGACGACTACTTAGCTAAAATTAATAAACGGCGACAGTTAAAATTATTTGGTACTTGAGCAAAAAGATAGTTAGTAGAAAATAAGTTACCAAAATATACAGTTTAAATACTTGTTTCTGTAATTATACGCACTTTACCACTCCACTCTTGTTATCACCAAAAGTGATACTAATTTGTGATCATTCCGCTTATGAAGTCTACGGCAACCACTTGATCATAAAATCAATCTTCTTGAACTAAACTTCGTATCAGAAGGCATTCGTCTTTCTTCCTGGTTAAAAGAGCGTTGTAAACTATGTCCATGTACCCCCACCTCGTTATTGTTTTCCAATCGTATCTGCTTCCTTAACGTAGTTATCAGGTTTGCATATAGTAATATTCCAGTTGATCTATATTGACTGGAATACTTTTTTCTTTAGGTCCTGATACTCCAGAAAATCATTTGAGGGACAGTAAGACTAAGAGCAGCAAGCTAGCGGTCTGATGTTATGCTGTTGACCGTGAAGTGTGATTATTATTATTATTATTTATTATTTCAACACATACATAATGGTACAAAGAGGCATCAAATACATATGCGCCACACAAATCTCATTCGATATGTGTGGGGGCTGTGATACTGCCCGGGTGCCCAGACCGAAGCAGGTGGTTTTCTTAGGGGGCCACACCCCGAGCCTTCGACCTGAAGGTCTGATCCACAAGGCAGTGGAGCATCGTAAGGAGATGCAGTCCCATGGAAGCCGGTGACCAACAATTGGTTCATACGCCATTTGTTCCCGCAGGATACTGGAGCCCATGTGCACCATTGGTTTGGAATCCGGTTAAAGCGCCGGACATTCGCTTTTCGTCCTCTCATTTTCGTAAACAACACCCCCGCCACGAGAAGGCAATGAGTAGGACTTCCCTGGCAGAGGCTGTATACGCGCGGCCGTGTGAGAGTATTTCGAGAGGGAGAGCGGACTCTCCCCACTCTCGGCCGTACCAGGGCATTTGGGGGCTGAAGTGTGATAACTAAGGCGTTTGCATCAGACAACAAGCACCTATAGCGACGCCAGCCTGTTACAATGGAAGGAATTAGAAAAGCCCGACCGTACATATATCACATATTATTTACAATACGATCATCAAGACAGTCGGCGTCCGACGATGGTGGTATTTCTTGACTTAAAAGCAGCATTTGACTCGGTAGACCGCGAGACTCTGTGGCAGTGTCTGTCATTGAAAGGCGTACCTCAGAAGTACATAAACCTTGTGAAGGCTCTTTACTCGAACACTACTAGTCGAGTCAGGGCTTATGGCGAACTGTCATCTACTTTTGCAACCTCAAGTGGTGTCCGTCAAGGCTGTCCACTTTCTCCATTTTTGTTTAACTTCATCATAGACCTATTGATGGAAATAACACTCTCGTCGACTGAATTCTCGGGTATTGATCTCCTTCCAGGAGGTCCACTTATCGACTTAGAATACGCAGATGACATAGTCCTGTTTGGTGAAGACGCTGACAAAATGCAGAGTCTTCTGGTAGCACTAAGCAACAATGCCAGAATGTTTGGGATGAGCTTCTCTCCCTCTAAATGCAAGTTGTTGCTTCAGGACTGGTCTGGGTCAACACCTGAACTAAGGATAGGGAGTGAAGTAGTTGAACGCGTTGACAACTTCACTTATCTTGGGAGTCTGATCAGCCCTAATGGGTTGGTGTCTGACGAAATCTCAGCACGGATTCGAAAAGCTCGTTTGGCTTTTGCCAACTTACGTCACCTTTGGCGGAGGCGAGATATCCGTCTATCAATAAAAGGACGAGTATACTGCGCGGCAGTCCGTTCTGTTTTAATTTACGGCAGCGAAACATGGCCATTAAGAGTAGAAGACACCCGTAAGCTACTAGTATTTGACCACAGATGCCTTAGAAATATTGCTGGCATCTGCTGGGATCACCGGGTAAGTAATAGTGAGGTTAGACGCAGGGTATTAGGGAATGATGGTAAATCAGTTGATGAGGTTATGAATCTTCATCGACTGAGATGGTTGGGCCACGTGTTACGTATGCCTGAACACCGATTACCACGACGTGCAATGCTAACCGGGGTAGGGGATGGTTGGAAGAAAGTTAGGGGCGGCCAAACCAAAACGTGGCATCAGTGCCTGAAGACACTAACTTCTAGTCTGAGCCATGTTGGTAGATGCAGACTACTTGGTTGGGGTCCGCGTGACTTTCGTAACCAATGGTTGGAGACTCTTGGTGACATGGCTCAGAATCGATCACAATGGCGTCGGTGTATACACTCCCTGTCTTCCCTTAAACTAAAAGATTAAAATCACTTCATTCTTTCTGTCTACGAACTAATTCTTTCTTCCTATACTATATCCTTATTGCAACCTTTGACCTAACCACTCCTATGAATCCGCTGTTCATCTTGCTGTGCTAATGAGGTATGGCAACCTGGACCGATGCACATATGTGCCTGGTCCTACGTTGTAGCTGACTGACTGACTGTACGGATCTGGAACTTGGAGAATCGCCACAACCATAATAAAAAACGTATAAGTAATTATAAACAGTTGTCTACGTAAAATACTGAATGTCCGTTAGCCAGACGCCATCAGAAACAGCCCAATGTGGGAGAGAACAAACTAACTTCCAGCTGAGGAGGAAATTAAGAAAAGAAGTTAGCAGTGGATAAGGCGCACATTAAGGAAATCATCAAACTGCATGACGAGGCAGGCGCTAACTTGGAATCCTGAAGAGAAACGAAAAAGATTAAGCTTAAACAACATACTGCGTCGAGAATTGGTAGCAGACGTCACAAAGGACCAATAGCAGCTGGAAAGGATTGCCCAGGGTAGAGTTGGATGGAGAATGCTGGTGAGCGACCTATGCTCCTCCATGAGGGGTAACAAGCGTGAGCATCTTGCCCCACGAATCGCCATCTCCTGTGGTAGTACCTTTTGAAGCTAACACATAAAAAGCCTGCCACAAGACAGTCGTGTGTGACCAGTTTTAAGACGATGTCCCATGGGCCTTGAGGTCACGCTCCCAGGTAGATAAGACTGTCACTAATCCAGTTTGTTCTTCAGGTCTCTCAATAAGAGGCAGCTTTCTATGGTGTGAGCAACAGAGAAGCGATAATTGTTCTCACAGCTTTAACAACACACGAGATCATGCCCTAATGAAAAGACGCACTTCTATGCATTTCACTGGACGTGAGTAGGTCAGCAAGAACTTGATATTGGACTATCAAGTTTTCAGTTCCCTTTGTCATCTGAAGAGGAACTTCGAACGTTAGATACATGTCTTTAGCAAGAAAACATAAGGGACAAATCTGCAAGTTACTGAATTCGTTATATTGTTACTTCACACTGTAGACGATCATGGTGATGCGATTAACAGATGATAATCCCAAAACCCCATGCGCTATATCTTGCCATACGTCATAAAACCTGAAATCGCCAGACACTTCTGATTATCTGGCAGTCACGTAGGAAGAACCTACTAAACTATATAACGTCGCGAAGCAAGGGCAAATCCATGGAACGAGACATCACAGAAGTGTCATGGAGAGAAAATAGAAAATGTGAGTACTAATTGCAAATGACAACCTTCCTATAGGTTCAGTGTTCAGCATTAACGAACATCACCGTAAGTCTCACTTTAAAAAATGATGGGAGTTAAACATTGTTGTAGATGTTGGTTTATTAAACTTCAAAATTCACGAGAGGACTATTTTGATTCAGGATAATAACACTGCAGTTCAAAATGGGGGGTTGGGTTCTTTGGAATTTATTTTTATGTTAAAATAAATTTCCTAATAAAACTTTCTCTTACCATGCATTTACTTCCTCACTTGGATCTAGTACGTTGAGACTAATTACGTGTATATTGTTATAGCGTGTCTGATTTCATATTCACTTAACAATTATGACACAATGAATAACGCACTACATTTAATTTATCTACTACATCGTAAGTAACAGCAAACTTGAGGTAGGATAAAACCCACTGAATGTATTGGTAATCGAAACTGGGTGGGGTCTGTCTGTTATTCATCATGGTTTACATTACATCAAAATGTTGGAAATTAAATAGAAACAGATTCACGAAGAAATGCTAACATCTCAGTACTCCTCATTCATCAAATGAAAATGCGTGACGAGCATTTATTTGCTAATAATCTACCTGCAAACTGTTATTTCCAGTTAATAAAGGTTTTTGCCCAGTATGTTTTTACAATTAATCAAGCGCAACCAAACCTTTGTTTTGTAGTGGAAGTGAGGACGAACATGGAGAACATTTGTGGCTAGGCGAATAGAGGAAATTTGGCGGCATCTCAAACATAAAGCGAAAGGGGGAATCCCACACAATTCTATTTTTAGTCCTCTATATGCATTTGGACTATCTCAAAGATTTATCTTGAGTTCGCCTCCATTTCCCATTTCGCTTGCTTGGGAAATTACCCTGGAAAACGTCATCTAGCTGGATGACTAACCACTAGTATACTAGTGGTTAGAAATTTTAGAACGATCTTAAGTGGTGAAAAAAATTAACCATTGCATGAAGTTAGAAAACGATGTTAGAAAGGGGACTCGTAAATTTGTCTGGAAAACAGAAATACTACTAACTTTAGTCAATCCGTGCACTGAAAAGTCAATGATTCAGTAACATCGTCCATCGTGGAGGTTACTGAGCAATTGAAGGTCAAACTGTTGTAAAGCCATTGGTGCGTCACTTCGACAATTCGTAAGGTCTAGCAGAAGCGGTCAAATCAAAATAACCCCAAATTTGATTTGGGTTTAGCCTCACTGTCCGATAAACTCCATCCTTAAAGTGACGGAGATGATCTTAACATAACGATGTACAATATAGGACGAATATGCACTGATATTGTGCTATCGCGACGATTTACCGGTTGGGACAGTTTTGAGACCTGTCTGAAAGTTCATAAGGCAATAGAACATCCTTGATTTATAGTTCTTTGTACAGTATACGCACACTAAGCATGTTATATCAGTATACAAAAAACAGAGACGACCCAACTCCAAAGTATTTTTCGTCATCTATATTTGTACAAATGGATGCCCAACCCAAGCTGCCAGCTTTGGGGAAATTTTCGGGAAATCCCCAAAGTGAAATAGCCTTCCCCAAGGTTTGGGGAAATTTTGGGGTTTTTGTGTCATTTTTTCAAAATTTATTATAGCAGCTTCCCCAAAATGGGCCAAATTTCCCCCAAAATTGGCAGCACAGACGTAGACTCGACTCTACGTTGATCAGCACACCGGGACCAGATACTTGTCATCAGGATGCAAATGGTGGTAGTCATCAGCATTCCTGCAAAGAGCATGCACCTCCCAACTCACCATCACAACCTAGACAAGGAAAACGACGTCGGTCACCTACGTATGCTTCATTTCGAATGAACTCATCCTTAAGGTCAAAGTATTGCCACTGCGAATCTGGATTTCGGGTCCGTGGAGCAAATAATGAGCTTAAAGTTACCTCAGTTAAAACCATGCACAACTATCCTTCTCCAGAAGGATATGCTTCTATAGATCACTCGAGATGACAGTTGTTGTCAAGTGAACGATCATATTTATTACAGTCTTTGTTGAGTAATACACCAACGAGTAGCATTCGACATCTGGTTTCTTGGAAAATACACAAGCAGCTTACCGAGGACGATGTTGCCATAATTCCGTCACAGTTGTATCCAGGTTGTTAAACATATGGTCGAATTATTTGAGTTTTGACATTAAACATATCAACGGGATCTTACAGCGCGTCCAACCAAACAGAATTATTCGGAGAAAATGGGAATATTTCTATGATTTGTTTCAATAGCAGGGAGAAAATGGCTATCTGCCACGCGTTTCTAGAGGTAGTATATATCGCCTCGACAACAAAGTTGAGGAAGTAACGAATAATAACAACCTTAATTCGAAGTTTTCTAGCTAGTCGTTACTGACAGTCTTAGGCAAGAGCACATCGTTATGCACGCTCTTCCCA